TCTCTCTCTCTCTCTCAAACTGAGGACCTTTTGTACTCGCATTCAGCTTGCACTGCCAGATAGACGTTTATGCAGGAGGCTGAACTCCCATTTTTTCTTAAACTTGTTGATGATATCGTTATTACACCTGAAATGGTAACCGTATTTTTTTTTTTTTGCGGAACTGGGGATTGAACTCAGGCCCTTGCGTGAAGTGTTTATTCCACTGAGCCATCTCCCTGGCCCCGTAACAGTACCACTTTAACATTATATAATCTACTTAGTATTCAGATTTCCCTGGCTACTTCATAAATACATTCTTAAGTTTTGCCATAACTTTTTTTTTTTTTGCGCCGAATGCCTTCAAGGCATGACTGGCTGTCTTGTGTTGTGGGGATCGAACCACAGCAACCTGAGCCTGACTGCCTTGTTGAAGCAGCCACTTAAAGAACTGAGCTAAGGGGCAGGCCCCCTGCCATAACTTTTGTTTTGAGGCAAAATCTTGCTGGGTCAGGCTGGCCCTGGCTCACTGTGTGTGTAGCCAGGTTGGCCTTGAACAACTCAGTGATAATCCTCCAGCCTCAGCCTCCTGAGTGCTAGGACTGCAGGCGTGTGTTAGCACACCAGGCTATAACTGTGTTTTAAAAGTTGTTTGAATCAAACTCCAAATAAAGTCTGTGCATTGCATTTACCTGGTATATGTAAGTCTTTTTTTTGTTTGAGACAGAATCTCATAACTTGCTCATTCTTGCCCTGACGTTGAAACCCTCTTGCCTCAGCCATTGAGGTAACTAGGATTCGGGGTGTTCACCACCCTGCCTGGCAGTCTTTTTTTTTTTAAATGAAATGTAATTCACCTATCATAAAAATTTCCCTCTGACTTACTGTACCTTTCAGAGGTTTTCGGTGTGTTTACAAAGTTGTGCAACCGTCACCACTAAATCCAGAACATTTTCATCATGCCAGAAGAATATCTAGTAGCAGTCACTCCTCATTTCCTGCTCCTTCCAGCATCTGGAACAATTTTTGTCTCTGAAGTTATGTATTTTGTTTTGTTTAGTTTTGCTTTGTTTTGTTTGAGACAGAGTCTGCTATGTAGTTCAGGCTGGCCTTGAACTGACTGTGACCCAAGTGGGCCTCAAACTCACCGTGATCCTCCTGCCTCAGCCTCCTGAGTGCTGTGATTACAAGTGTGCACCATCACACCCACCTCTGAAATCATGTTTTCTGGACATTTCTTCTAGGTAGGACAATATGTGGCTTAAATCTCTTTTTAGGAATCCTCCGTTTTCCCCTTTAATGTACAAATAAGTTGTTGTATAAATTTCCTACCTTTTGGATCTTACTGACTACATCGAGATGTTATATACATGTTCTTGTATCTGTATTTATTTACTGTTGTGGGTAGTTCTAAAGGCTGGTCAGATTCAGTTTAATCTTTTTGGCAAGAAAATTTAACTGGTATTTTTATCTAATGTTTGTTGCATCCCACTGGATGACATAGAGCATCTGGTTATATCTTGAATTACATTTCTAGGGGCCGGGGAGATGGCTCAGTGGAATAAGCACTTGCCTGGCAAGTGCAGGGGCCTGAGTTCAATCCCTGGTTCCACAAAAAAAAAAAATAATAATAATAATAATATTAATAATTGAATTACATTTTTAGACAGACCAGTCAAAGATGGTGAAACAAATCAGTGAACTAGATACAGATGACATTTGTAGGATAAGATGTTTAATAAAATTGTTAGGGCACAGAAGGGTTTACTAGATTGATGGACAAATACATGTGGCTCATCATCCAAATATCCATTGTACTGGAAAGGCCCCATGGAGTCGTATTAGTGTGCTTTGTTTCTTTCTTTTTTTTTTTTTAATATATTTTAGGGAAGGGTCTACAGGGTGTTCAGGGTCTCACTACTAGATTGGATTCATTGTGATCCACCTGTTACAGCCTCCCAAGAGCTGGGATTACAGGTGTGTGCCACCACACCCAGTCTTAATTGCTGTCTCAGTGCACCCAGGGGGCGGGGCCGGCGTGGCAGGCCTGGGGATCAAACCCCTGGCCCCTGCGCCTGCTTGCAGATGTGCTTTATTTCTATGTGAGGCCTGCTCATGGTTTTTTTCTTTTGGGTTACATTGTGTAGTTCAGGCTGTCCTTGAACTCACATGTAATCTAAGCTGGCCTTGAACAGAGATCTTTCTGCCTCAGCCTTCTAAGAGCTGGGATCAGATACCCAGCAAGCTTCTATAATCTTTCATAAAATACAACATTGTTAAATTTAAGTGTAACTGGGGCTGGGGAAATAGCTTGGCAGTCTAAGTGTCTGCCTGGCAAGTGCAAGGACATGGGTTTGATCCCTGATACCACATTCTGTGCCAACCCTGGACCCCAGGCATGCTGTGCCGGCCAAGGAAACTGGCCGTGTTAGCACATGCCTGTAATCCTAGCACTGGGAAGGCTGAGACAGGAGGATCACAATGAGTCCAAGCTGTGTAATGAGACCCTATACCGAAAAAAAAAATTGTAATTTACTGGAAGTGTAATTTACTGGAAGAAGAGATGTCAAAGTCCTTAGGAGGAGAAGCCAGGGCATTCAGTAGGGATGAAGGTGAACATTTTTGTTGTTGCTGCAATTGCTGTTGGTATTTCACTGAGCTGCAGTCCCTGTCTGATTTTTTTTTTTTTTTTTTTTAGACAGGGTTGAGTTTGAATTTGGCAGTCCTCTGGCCTCAGTCTTTGTTTGGCTAATCTAATATATTAAGTAGTGTTAACAAGGTTTTGTTAATTTGTTTTTCTTTTCTTTTCTTTTTTTTTTTTTTTTTTTAACAGAACTGGGGATTGAACTCAGGTCCTTGCGCTTGCCAGGGAAGCGCTTATTCCACTGAGCCATCTCCCTGGACCTTTTTTTTTTCTTTTTGAGACAGTCTTGCCGGGTAGTTCAGGCTGACCTTGAACTCATTGTGTAGCCCAGGCTGACCTTGAATTTGTAGCAACCCTTCTATCTCAGCCTGCCAAATGCAGGGATCATAGGTATGTGTCACCATGCCTGGCCTATGGTAAGGGGCTTTTTAATATATTTTGGGCTGCAGTTCTTTTAGAGTGTCAAAAGGTGAAGATATGTGTTTGTTGCATTCTTTCTTCTAGATTTGAATATAGTTTCCCTGAGGGTTGCTTTTATTTCAAAGCCATAGAATATTAATATGAAGTATAAATTCATTTTTTGTTTGTTCTTTTCTGCAAAAATATTTTGTTGTCCCTCAGTTATTTCCTTGCTAATCCAATAAAACAAACTGGAATTGGCTTCATTTCCGTGTGCATTCCTTCTCCGGTTATGTGGAACCCTCTCGGTGTTGTAGGCCAGAGATTGCATACAGATGGCTGGGGGAGATGCTTACATGTTTTCTTCCTGGCGTGTCAGAGATCAGATTCAGGGCTCTATACATGATAGGCAAGTACACTCCCACTAGGGTACATCCCCAGCCTTTTAGTTTTTTTAATATGCATTCTTATTTATTTTAAAGACAGGGTCTTACTATAATGCAGGCTGGCCTTGAATTTGTTTGTATCCCAGGCTGGCCTCAAACTAACAGCGCTCCTCCTGCCTTAACCTCTCAAGGGGTAGGCATGCCCCCTTGAACCTGGCTACTTAAAGTCCATTTTAAAGGAGGGCAGAAGACTAGTTTCTGATGTAAATTTTGATGACTTTTAAATATTGAGCATAGAGTTGTTAGGTGTAAATTATGATACCTCCATTATATTTGTTTTTTGATTAATCATATAATTTTTAAAAGGTCTTTTCAAATAGTAAAAGGACATATGGTAACATACAAAAAGTATAGAAAGATGTGAATCCAAAAAAAATAAATAAAGTTTTCTGCCAGGCATGGTGGTACATGCCTGTAATACCAGCACTTGGGAGGCTGAGACAGGTGGATTGATGTGAGTTTGAGGCCAGCTTGGGTGACACAGTGAGTTCAAGGGCAGAGTAAACTACATAGAAATGCCCTGAACAAAAACAGAACCTTTTCTCTTACCTGTGCTCTCAGACGCCTAGTTCCATCTTCTTGGGTAACCACTATCACCAGTTTCTTGTATATTTGTTTTCAGAGATATGTATGTGTGTACATGTTTTGTTTTCCCTCAAATGGAATTGTGCACACTGTCCTGTATCTTGCTTTTTCATGTGAAGTAAATTTTTGTGCTGGCTAGTGAACCTTCTAAATCTCTCTCTTTTTTTTTTTTTTTTTTAATTTTATTGATAAACAGATAACAATGAGACAGTTTCAAATCAAATCACTAGGATAGTTTCAATAACTAACACACTGCATACATTCTTCTTAGTGGTTAATTGCTGTACAAGATGCGGACCTGACATCCCATTTACAAATCATTTTATTCATTAAGAGAATGTAACTATATATCTATCCTAACCACCTAAATCTCTTTAACAACATATTTTTCTGGATGGTCAGAATTGATTAAACTAGTCCCTGTTGAGTTGTTTCTAGTCTTTTGTTACTATAAATAATGCTTCTTTTAAGTTTCCTTGTGGATGTGTGTTACTTGGTACCAGGAATTAAACTTAGGCCTTGTGCTTGCAAGGTAGGCACTGTGCCAGTGAGTCTCCAGTCCAGTCTCCCCAGCCGGAGGGGTGTTATTTGACACAGACACCCCCCAGCTACTTTCATAGAACTCTACTGTTCTTCAGTACCCACATTTAAGAATCAGAAGAATCCTAATAGGAGATAGTGTTTTTCTATAAAAATCAAATATGTAAAGATGCTTCTGATTATAATTTTCCAGTTGTTGAACATATAAATTGTAAGAATTTGTTTTTTCCCTTCTCATGTTTACATGGAAGATTTTGGTGTCTCTGGTTTTGCTACGACAAATGCTTTTGGAGTTGACAAGACGTGGTCAAGAGCCTCTGAGTATGCTGCTGCAGTTTGGCGTGACGTACCTGGAAGACCATGCAGCAGAGTATATCATTCAGCAAGGTGGCTGGGTATGAGTTCCCGCATGCTCGCTCGCTCTTTCTTTCTTTCTTTCTTTCTTTCTTTCTTTCTTTCTTTCTTTCTTTCTTTCTTTCTTTCTTTCTTTCTTTCGGAACTAGGGATTGAACTCAGGCCCTTGCTCTTGCCAGGGAAGCGCTTATTCCACTGAGCCATCTCCCCGGCCCCCACCTGCATATTTTAAAAAGGTCTTTCTTTAAAAAATTAAGTCCATTGTTTTTTTTTTTTTTTTTAAATTTATTTATTTATTTATTTTTATTTATTACATTTATTTACTGTGTGTGTGTGTGGCCAGCTCAGCCCACCAGGGGGCAGGTCTGGCTGGCATGTGGTGCTGGGGATCGAACCGCGGTCCCTGTGCTTTGCCAAGCTTGTTTCAAGTAGGTGCTTTAGACCACTGAGCCATCTCTCCAGCCCAAGTCCATTGTTTTTTAATAGCATGAATTTAGGAGTATTGGATGACCATCAGTGGAAAGGATGTTCATACCACTTAAGCTACAAAATTGTACTTACAATAAATTGATTGTGGTCCTTCCTCCCTTCCTCCTCCCTCCCTCCTTTCCTCCCTCCCTCCTTCGCTCTTTTGAGACAGTGTGTTGCTATATAGTGCAGCCTGGCCTTGAACTCATAGTGATCTTTCTGTCTCAGCCTCCCCCCAAGTGCTGGGATTACAGGCATGTGCCACCATGCCCAGTGATATGTGGTACTTTTAAGTAATTCTTAATTTATGAAACATTTAATATTAGCAAAAATATATTTTTAAAAAGAGGGTTAAGAAGAATAAAATTAGTATTTGTGTGTCTAACACCCCAGTCTCAGCACATAGCTTTTTTTTTTTTTTTTTTTGCAGAACCGGGGATTGAACTCAGGCCCTTGTGCTTGCCAGGGAAGCGCTTATTCCAGTGAGCCATCTCCCTAGCCCCCCACATAGCGTATTTTATGGGGGAGGAGAGAGGGCAGTGTTGAAGATTAAACTCAGGTCCTTACACATGTTAGTCAAGCAGTCTTATCACTGTTACCCACCCAGCTCACACTGCTAACACCATGTGTGTGTGTGTGTGTGGGGGGTGACTGGGGATTGAACCCGGGACCTAATGCATATTAGGCAAGCATTCTACCACTGAACTGTATCCTATCCTAGCCCTTATTTTGTATTTTGAGGCAAGAGCTTGCTAAGGTGCTGAGGCTGGTCTAGAACTTACAACCCTCCAGTCTCTTGAGTAGCTGAGATTGCACATGTGTGTCACCATGCTTCACACAGCTAACACTTTTTTTGTAGACAGAGTCTTGCTACATTCAGGCTGACTTGGAGTTGGAGGCTGAGACATGAGGATCCTTGCAAGTTTAAGAACCGCCTGGGCTACAGAGTTATCTCAAGGCCAGCCTGAACTGCATAGCAAGATACTGTCTCAAAAAGACCAAAGAGGGGCTAGGAAGATAGCTTAGCAGTCTAAGTGCCTCACTGGAAAGTGCAGAGTTCTGTGTTTGATCTCTGGTACTGCATTCTGTGCTAGCCGCAAAATCAAGCCTGGTGGCACATGCCTGTAATCCAGCACTGAGGAGGCTGAGACAAGAGAATCACTAGAGTCTGAGCTGTGTAGCAAGACCATAGACCAATCAAAAAAAAATTTTTTTTAAAAAGTGACTTGGGGGGTGGTTGGGGAGATGGCTTGGTAGAATGAATGCTTGCCTGGCAAGCGCAACAGCCTGAGTTCAATCTCCAGTTCTGCAAATAAAAATAAAAAGAATAAAATGACTTAGGGAATAGCACAGTGCTAGAGCCCTTGCCTGGCATATGCTAGGCCCTGGGGTCAGGTCCCAGTACCAACTAACTACTAACTTAGGGATAATTTTGGAAGGCAGCTCTGCTCAACACTATCCCACCAATGCCACTTTGGAATAATTTTGGATCTACAAAAAAGTTGAAAAAATTAGAATTCCCATCTGCATTTACCCAGTTAGCTCTGGTGCAATGGTGGTGATTTACAGCACATATGCCACAGCAGACAGGATTTTTTAAAAGAGAAAATAAGCCAGGGAGATGGCTCAGTGGAATAAGTGCTTCCCAGGCAAGCACAAGGGCCTGAGTTCAATCCCCGGTTCCACCAAAAACAAAACAAAAACCACTTTTAAAAGAGAAAATAAAAAATTTCAAAATAAGATAATAGAAGGGTAACAATGGTTAATACATTGCATATTTTTATCTTTAAATTAGTTACTCAGAGTACCAGATATCGACATTTAATTGTCCAGACAATATTAGCACAAGCCTTTCTTTTCAATGAGCTAAGAGAAATGAGTAGCACACCTGTCTTAACTATCTTTCACATATATGTATGTACATGCATATATACAACCTGTCTATCTTGCTTTTCCCTTTTTTTCTTCATTTTCCCATTCCAGTTTCTCTTTCCTTTTGAAGTTTCTTCCCATATTACTCTATCTGTTGTACATTTTGGATCTTACTTACTCAGCTTCTCACACGACGTTTATACATGTGCATCAGGTTTGTTTCACTTAGGAGTATGATCTCGACTTGGATCCGTTTACCTGTAAAGGGCTCCAGTCTCTCCTTCTTTGTGGCTCAGTGGTATTCCATTGGATAGAAAGACCACATCTTTTTTATTGATTCCTTGGTTGATGAGTATTTAGGTTGCTTCCAAGATCTAGCTATTCCACACTGTGCCAGGGGCTGTTTGTGCCCTTGAGAGCTCTGAAAGTGTTACTACCATCACTGCTGTAGTGTAACACTTATGTAATGGTGTCCATTTGTCCAAACTAATAGAAGTCCAGACTTTATATCACCTATTCTCCAGTAATTTCTTCTTCTTCTTCTTCCTCCTCTTCCTCCTTCTCTTCTTCTTCCTCCTCCTTTTCCTCTTCCTTTTCCTCTGAGCAGAATATTTATTGAGAGAAAGAAAGCTTCTGTCTGAGCGAGGGACAGGGGCTGGAGAGATGGCTCAGTGGTCTAAGGCACCTACTTAGAACAAGCTTGGCAAAGCATCAGGGACCGCGGTTCAATCCCCCAGCACCA